GAATTCTAGCAAACTTCGCATCAAAAAGTTCTTATGCCGATGGGATAACGATGGAAAGCGTTGTAGGAATTGGTGTGTGCCCAGAATGACGGTAGACCGGCCGAGAAATATTCGTTGTAAATTTTCATTGAGCGATGATCAATCAGTATTTCGTACTCTGCTGTGCAGTCGTAGTCTATCTAAAAGATAATTTCTCTAATTGCTCATTAGACACTCAAAGATTCACGAAAGGCCTCCGCAAGAAGACGCCAAAAATCGATAATCTTCAATGCTATTCATAGTATGGTCTTTTCTCGAACAGGCGATATGACGACGCTCTTGTTGGAAATCTTGAATTTCGCCAGTTTCCAATAGTCGATGTGATCGTAGATGTTATAATGATCGTAGATGTTATACTTCCCATTTTCGAATCCAAATAGTCAGAAACCGCATGACACCCGTTCTCAATTTTTTCCATTGTCGTCTGGAGCTGTTGGATATGAATTTTCGTCCAAAGAGTGATGTAAGTCTCAAATTTGCATTATTTTGTACACTATAAATGTTAACACTCTCCAGAAACAAGCTGAGGATTCCAGGAGAGCTTCATGGAGTAATTAGAGACGAATTGATCGAGAAGATTCATTCAATTTGTCGATAATTGCAAGTCGAGGTGCCTATTCAGTATGAGAAGAGATCAGCAAATGCGCTTATTCCGTGTTCATGCTCTCGGATCTGCGGCCATATCTGACTCCTGATGCCTGTAAAAGTACTACTGGAATCTGAATCGGATGGCTGTCAACAATTTCATTGAAGGAAAAGGGAATTATGTCGCCACTGTAAGTCACAACCGTTTCGTAATGATCGGACATCGCCGTTATCGGTGCAGAATTAACGGTAGTTCTTGGACAAAAAAAATATCGCTGTATCATCATTATAACATCTACGATCACATCGACTATTGGAAACTGGCAAAATTCAAGATTTCCAACAAGAGCGTCGTCATATCGCCTGTTCGAGAAAAGACCATACTATGAATAGCATTGAAGATTATCGATTTTTGGCGTCTTCTTGCGGAGGCCTTTCGTGAATCTTTGAGTGTCTAATGAGCAATTAGAGAAATTATCTTTTAGATAGACTACGACTGCACAGCAGAGTACGAAATACTGATTGATCATCGCTCAATGAAAATTTACAACGAATATTTCTCGGCCGGTCTACCGTCATTCTGGGCACACACCAATTCCTACAACGCTTTCCATCGTTATCCCATCGGCATAAGAACTTTTTGATGCGAAGTTTGCTGTTATTCTACTATGGATAGCATCTGGAGGCTGTATTTTTCACAGTATCTTCATCTGCTTGATAAATGAAACGTCGTCAGTTGCAAATATTGTGATGGCATTACAAGTAATCTTGCCATCCGACATTTGTGGTAGACGATTCAATAACGGGATGCCACAGAAGGACGTAGGGCTAAACATTGCTGTATTTCGATGGAAAACTGTCGGATGACTGGTAACAAGCAGGAAAGATGTAAATGTGGGAAAATTTCGGATCCAACGACAAGCTTTAAATTAAAAATCCGGAATAACGGGGGGGGGGGGAGGGCACTCTTTAGCAGACGAGATTTTTCGGCCGCGTCTTCTGATTTCAGCTTTATCTTCGTCAAAAACTTCTGTTTCTTTCCATTGCTGTTCTCAAATAATTGGAAACCGCACGACAGCCGTTCCAAATATTTTTGTTGTCGGCTGGAGCAGCTGGATGTGTATTGTTGGCACGAATCATCAGTTCTAATGAACCTTCCTAGTTGCCTGCTGAAAAGCTTTTTGGTCAATGCGTTTTGAACTGATTCTATAGCTTCAATGTCATTTTTCATTTTTCTTACAACTAGAGGCTTCTGTTTCTGTTTATTTTTACTCCGAATTTTGCAAACCGTACCCGTTCACTGTTTTTTTTTAGAGAACCCAATGTGCGCACAATTTTCTTCACTGACGTCTTTTGTGTGCGCACCTTGACACAGGATGGGGGCGCGTAGTATTGGTTTTGCTATTTCCTTAATTATTGCCAGAAATAGATATCAAGCCGAAAAATAGTTCACCGCAAGCCGAGAACAATTTTTTCACAAGCACCATCGTCATCATCTGGAGGAAAAATGATGAATAAAGCAAGGTGAGTATTTGTTTTTCGATTTTTGCAAAAAAAATAAGTGCTTAATACGATTTGTCTGCATGAAGACAGAACATTATCCAATGGAGAGTCACAACATGAAAACATTTGGAGACAGCGGAAGCTCACGAAGACGACGATTGTTGGCATGAAAAATCCATTGAATCCTTGCCAGCGGACAGTAAACATGATCAATCAAGCAAGGAGCTATATTTTTGTCAAGAGGGAGTCCTTGGCAAAGACACCTTTTACTGGTGAGTAGTTCCCCAAATTCGTTCCCATTTTCAAAGCAAATAGTTAACAGCTATTGACTTCAGGATGGGCAACTGAGAAGGTCGCGCTCAAAAAACATTTCCATGCCAAGATACGCTACTGGAAATGGCGATGGAGAGGAGGTGGCGTTAATGAATGTCAATGTGCTGCTCATGCTACTGGATGTCCAGCTAGACCACCAGGACCACCGGGAGATATTGGATTTGATTGAGATCAACAACACGCTGGACAAGATGGACAACCATTGGTTGATTCCGGAAGTGCTGGAGAACAATGCATCGCATGCCCAGCTAAACCAACAGGATCCCCACGACCAGATGAAAATGCTTGCTGAACCAACTGGATCCTTAGAAATGCCAGGACCAGACTAACAAGTTGGAGGTGCACCACAACGAGGACCGCCTAAACCACCAGGAGCACCAGGAAACGAACGACGGACAGGTAGAGCACCGGGACAAGATGGACAATCGGGACAAGACGGAATACGTGGAGTTCCTCAAACAGGACCACCACATCCATCAGGACCCTCAAACAACAACCTTCGCAAAGATATCTGACGTCGCCCAGATCCAGCTAAAATCGAAGCCATCTGCCAAATGCCAGCTCCAACCGACGTCTCCAAGTTGCGATCACTGCTCGGTATGGTTTAGTTTTATGGTTCTTTTGTGAAGGATCTACACAACTATCGTGCTGCACTTGATGAGCTGACCAAGAAGGACGCTGAATTCGAATGGACCACTGCCTGCCAAGCCTCATTCGACAAGATTCGCGACATCCTCAAATCAAACCTTCTGCTCACACACTACGATCCAAAATTGCCAATTGTCGTCGCCGCAGATGCCTCCAACTACGGTATTGGCGCCGTCATCACCCATCGTTTCCCAGACGGATCCGAAAAAGCAATCTTCCATGCAAGCCGCACATTGACACCTGCCCAACGAGGATATGCTCAAATCGAGAAGGAAGCGCTCGGATTGATCTTCGCTGTCGAGAAGTTTCATCGGTACATCCATGGCAGGGAATTCATTCTTCTGACGGACCACAAGCCTCTTCTAGCCATCTTCGGATCAAAGAAAGGTATCCCAGTGTATTCCTCCAGCCGACTTCAACGATGGGCAACGATCCTTCTCAACTACGACTTCAAAATCGAGTACCGCAACACCTCCTCATTTGGTCAAGCAGATGCCCTTTCGAGATTGATCGAGGTGAACAAACAGAATCTGGAAGAAGAAGATCGTGTAATTGCTTCAGTGGAAGCAGAAGTGGACGCCGAGCACCACGGAATCACCCGACACTTACCAATCACTGCGGCGAATATCGGGAAGGCGACTCAATCCGATCCAATCACTGCTGCTGTCATCCAATATGTACAACAAGGAAATTGGCCAAAAATCGATAAATCGTCTCCAATCTTCCCATTCTACAGTCGTCGTGAGTCCCTGTCCATCGTCAATGGAACCTTGATGTTTGGACACCGAATTGTCATCCCTGCTCAACTTCGCCAACGTGTCAAAACAACTCTACACAAGACTCATCCAGGACAGCAACGCATGAAGCAACTGGCTCGAAGCTATATCTACTGGCCTCACATTGACTCAGAAATCGAATCATTGGTGAGAAATTGCCACGATTGTCAAGCAGCAGCGAAGAATCCAGTGAAGACGACGTTGCAACCGTGGCCCACTGCTTCTATCCCACTCGAACGAATTCACATTGATTACGCTGGCCCAATTGATGGAACCTACTATCTTGTGTTCGTTGATGCCTTCTCAAAATGGCCGGAAATCCTACCGACTCGGACCATTACTGCATCAAGAACGATCGAGCTGCTCACTCCAATCTTCGCGAGGTACGGTAATCCACAGACGCTCGTTTCTGACAATGGCACGCAGTTCGTTTCATCGACATTCCAACAGTTCTGTGCGTCAAGAGGTATCAAACATCTACGCTCTCCTCCATTCCATCCACAGAGCAATGGACAAGCTGAGAGATTCGTGGACACCTTCAAACGAGCACTGGTAAAATTGAAGAGGGAGGAGACAACACAAGAAGCTCTACAAACGTTCCTCATGGCGTATCGATCGACTCCATGTGCCAGCTCACCAGGTCAATTGTCACCAGCTGAGAACTTTCTGAAAAGAAAAATGAGAACGATTATGGATCTAATGTTGCCAACTCACCTTCCAATCGATACATCATCAAAATCGGACAAAATGAAGCAACAGTTCGATCGTCATCATGGTGCCAAATGGAGATGCTATTCAGTTGGAGATCCCGTCTTCGTCAAGGACTACCGTTCACCGAACACTTGGCTGCCAGGAATTGTGATTGCTCGTTCGGGATCAGTCAAATACACCGTTCGTTGCAATGGACTCGAATGGATTCGCCACGTATATCAACTCCGACGTCGTGATCATCTGCCATCGTCTTCACATCTTCTGGATTGCTTCGATTTGCCAACAACTCCTCCACCGCCTTCTGATGCCTTCATTTTGCCAACGTCTCCGTCGTTGGATTGTTTCCCGCCTTCGCCTTGCCAAGATGTGCCAAGTACAACTACATTGGTGCCAAGAACAACTACATCGTTGCCAAGCACAACTACATGCCCGCCAAGTACAACTACAATCGCTTTGCCGCCAAGTACAACTACAACCGCTTTGCTGCCAAGAACAACTACACTCCCGCCAAGTACAACTACTGTAACCGGTTCGTCGTCAAGTCTGATGCCTGCACCGCAAGCCGCCGCCCCGACACTTCGGCGGTCTTCACGTACAGTAAGAGCCCCAGCACAATTGGAGATGGACCCGAGTCGGTCCACATACCGCTAGAGCTCAATGCTAATCGAGGGAGATGTTACGACAAGAGTAGTATAAGTAATAATAATTGCATGACCCAGTGACCTAGTTTCTATGTAACCCCCCTCATGCCACGTGGCTCGTTGCCACGTGCACTTCCTGTCTCTTGTCTTGTTTTCAGCTAATCGGGATTTCCCTTGTCACCCTGTCTTCTATCTAAACCTTGTCCCCGTCTACATATTCCTATATAATTCTCTGATAATTACCGGCTATAATAAATCTTCTAAATATATAACAGCTTCCATCTTTTTTCTGAGCGAACGAGTTCACGCATATCTTTTAGTAAAAGATTAGTCACTGTGATTGTTTTGTTCTAATATCTGCTTGTTCTGTCTTTTCACAAAACTAGTATGTGAAAAATGCGGAAAACCTGTTTTGGACCCCCAAAATCGGAATTTTTGCTTTCAACTTTTTTCTGAGCGAACGAGTTCACGCATATCTTTTAGTAAAAGATTAGTCACTATGATTGTTTTGTTCTAATATCTGCTTGTTCTGTCTTTTCACAAAACTAGTATGTGAAAAATGCGGAAAACCTGTTTTGGACCCCCAAAATCGGAATTTTTGCTTTCAACTTTTTTCTGAGCGAACGAGTTCACGCATATCTTTTAGTAAAAGATTAGTCACTGTGATTGTTTTGTTCTAATATCTGCTTGTTCTGTCTTTTCACAAAACTAGTATGTGAAAAATGCGGAAAACCTGTTTTGGACCCCCAAAATCAGAATTTTTGCTTTCAACTTTTTTCTGAGCGAACGAGTTCACGCATATCTTTTAGTAAAAGATTAGTCACTATGATTGTTTTGTTCTAATATCTGCTTGTTCTGTCTTTTCACAAAACTAGTATGTGAAAAATGCGGAAAACCTGTTTTGGACCCCCAAAATCGGAATTTTTGCTTTCAACTTTTTTCTGAGCGAACGAGTTCACGCATATCTTTTAGTAAAAGATTAGTCACTATGATTGTTTTGTTCTAATATCTGCTTGTTCTGTCTTTTCACAAAACTGTATGTGAAAAATGCGGAAAACCTGTTTTGGACCCCCAAAATCGGAATTTTTGCTTTCAACTTTTTTCTGAGCGAACGAGTTCACGCATATCTTTTAGTAAAAGATAAGCCACTATGATTGTTTTGTTCTAAGGTTTGTTTGTTCTGTCTTTTCACAAAACTAGTATGTGAAAAATGCGGAAAACCTGTTTTGGACCCCCAAAATCGGAATTTTTGCTTTCAACTTTTTTCTGAGCGAACGAGTTCACGCATATCTTTTAGTAAAAGATTAGTCACTATGATTGTTTTGTTCTAATATCTGCTTGTTCTGTCTTTTCACAAAACTAGTATGTGAAAAATGCGGAAAACCTGTTTTGGACCCCCAAAATCGGAATTTTTGCTTTCAACTTTTTTCTGAGCGAACGAGTTCACGCATATCTTTTTGTAAAATGTTAGTCACTACGATTGTTTTGTTCTAATATCTGCTTGTTCTGTCTTTTCACAAAACTAGTATGTGAAAAATGCGGAAAACCTGTTTTGGACCCCCAAAATCGGAATTTTTGCTTCCAACTTTTTTCTGAGCGAACGAGTTCACGCATATCTTTTGTAAAAGATAAGCCACTATGATTGTTTTGTTCTAATATCTGTTTGTTCTGTCTTTTCACAAAACTAGTATGTGAAAAATGCGGAAAACCTGTTTTGGACCCCCAAAATCGGAATTTTTGCTTTCAACTTTTTTCTGAGCGAACGAGTTCACGCACATCTTTTTGTAAAAGATAAGCCACTATGATTGTTTTGTTCTAATATCTGTTTGTTCTGTCTTTTCACAAAACTAGTATGTGAAAAATGCGGAAAACCTGTTTTGGACCCCCAAAATCGGAATTTTTGCTTCCAACTTTTTTATGAGCGAACGAGTTCACGCATATCTTTTTGTAAAAGATAAGTCACTATGATTGTTTTGTTCTAATATCTGTTTGTTTTGTCTTTTCACAAAACTAGTATGTGAAAAATGCGGAAAACCTGTTTTAGACCCCCAAAATCGGAATTTTTGCTTTCAACTTTTTTCTGAGCGAACGAGTTCACGCATATCTTTTAGTAAAAGATTAGTCACTGTGATTGTTTTGTTCTAATATCTGCTTGTTCTGTCTTTTCACAAAACTAGTATGTGAAAAATGCGGAAAACCTGTTTTGGACCCCCAAAATCGGAATTTTTGCTTTCAACTTTTTTCTGAACGAACGAGTTCACGCATATCTTTTAGTAAAAGATTAGTCACTATGATTGTTTTGTTCTAATATCTGTTTGTTCTGTCTTTTCACAAAACTAGTATGTGAAAAATGCGGAAAACCTGTTTTAGACCCCCAAAATCGGAATTTTTGCTTTCAACTTTTTTCTGAGCGAACGAGTTCACGCATATCTTTTTGTAAAAAATTAGTCACTATGATTGTTTTGTTCTAAGGTTTGTTTGTTCTGTCTTTTCACAAAACTAGTATGTGAAAAATGCGGAAAACCTGTTTTAGACCCCCAAAATCGGAATTTTTGCTTTCAACTTTTTTCTGAGCGAACGAGTTCACGCATATCTTTTAGTAAAAGATTAGTCACTATGATTGTTTTGTTCTAATATCTGCTTGTTCTGTCTTTTCACAAAACTAGTATGTGAAAAATGCGGAAAACCTGTTTTGGACCCCCAAAATCGGAATTTTTGCTTTCAACTTTTTTCTGAGCGAACGAGTTCACGCATATCTTTTTGTAAAAGATTAGTCACTGTGATTGTTTTGTTCTAATATCTGCTTGTTCTGTCTTTTCACAAAACTAGTATGTGAAAAATGCGGAAAACCTGTTTTAGACCCCCAAAATCGGAATTTTTGCTTTCAACTTTTTTCTGAACGAACGAGTTCACGCATATCTTTTAGTAAAAGATTAGTCACTATGATTGTTTTGTTCTAATATCTGTTTGTTCTGTCTTTTCACAAAACTAGTATGTGAAAAATGCGGAAAACCTGTTTTAGACCCCCAAAATCGGAATTTTTGCTTTCAACTTTTTTCTGAGCGAACGAGTTCACGCATATCTTTTAGTAAAAGATTAGTCACTACGATTGTTTTGTTCTAATATCTGCTTGTTCTGTCTTTTCACAAAACTAGTATGTGAAAAATGCGGAAAACCTGTTTTGGACCCCCAAAATCGGAATTTTTGCTTTCAACTTTTTTCTGAGCGAACGAGTTCACGCATATCTTTTAGTAAAAGATAAGCCACTATGATTGTTTCGTTCTAAGGTCTGTTTGTTCTGTCTTTTCACAAAACTAGTATGTGAAAAATGCGGAAAACCTGTTTTGGACCCCCAAAATCGGAATTTTTGCTTCCAACTTTTTTCTGAGCGAACGAGTTCACGCATATCTTTTTGTAAACGATTAGTCACTGTGATTGTTTTGTTCTAAGGTTTGTTTGTTCTGTCTTTTCACAAAACTAGTATGTGAAAAATGCGGAAAACCTGTTTTGGACCCCCAAAATCGGAATTTTTGCTTTCAACTTTTTTCTGAGCGAACGAGTTCACGCATATCTTTTAGTAAAAGATAAGCCACTATGATTGTTTCGTTCTAATATCTGCTTGTTCTGTCTTTTCACAAAACTAGTATGTGAAAAATGCGGAAAACCTGTTTTGGACCCCCAAAATCGGAATTTTTGCTTCCAACTTTTTTCTGAGCGAACGAGTTCACGCACATCTTTTTGTAAAAGATAAGCCACTATGATTGTTTTGTTCTAAGGTTTGTTTGTTCTGTCTTTTCACAAAACTAGTATGTTGAAAATGCGGAAAACCTGTTTTGGACCCCCAAAATCGGAATTTTTGCTTTCAACTTTTTTCTGAGCGAACGAGTTCACGCACATCTTTTTGTAAAAGATAAGCCACTATGATTGTTTTGTTCTAAGGTTTGTTTGTTCTGTCTTTTCACAAAACTAGTATGTGAAAAATGCGGAAAACCTGTTTTGGACCCCAAAAATCGGAATTTTTGCTTCCAACTTTTTTCTGAGCGAACGAGTTCACGCACATCTTTTTGTAAAAGATAAGCCACTATGATTGTTTTGTTCTAAGGTTTGTTTGTTCTGTCTTTTTACAAAACTAGTATGTGAAAAATGCGGAAAACCTGTTTTGGACCCCCAAAATCGGAATTTTTGCTTTCAACTTTTTTCTGAGCGAACGAGTTCACGCATATCTTTTTGTAAAAGATAAGCCACTATGATTGTTTCGTTCTAAGGTTTGTTTGTTCTGTCTTTTCACAAAACTAGTATGTGAAAAATGCGGAAAACCTGTTTTGGACCCCCAAAATCGGAATTTTTGCTTCCAACTTTTTTCTGAGCGAACGAGTTCACGCATATCTTTTTGTAAACGATTAGTCACTGTGATTGTTTTGTTCTAATGTCTGCTTGTTCTGTCTTTTCACAAAACTAGTATGTGAAAAATGCGGAAAACCTGTTTTGGACCCCCAAAATCGGAATTTTTGCTTCCAACTTTTTTCTGAGCGAACGAGTTCACGCACATCTTTTTGTAAAAGATAAGCCACTATGATTGTTTTGTTCTAAGGTTTGTTTGTTCTGTCTTTTCACAAAACTAGTATGTGAAAAATGCGGAAAACCTGTTTTGGACCCCCAAAATCGGAATTTTTGCTTCCAACTTTTTTCTGAGCGAACGAGTTCACGCATATCTTTTTGTAAAAGATAAGCCACTATGATTGTTTTGTTCTAAGGTTTGTTTGTTCTGTCTTTTCACAAAACTAGTATGTGAAAAATGCGGAAAACCTGTTTTGGACCCCAAAAATCGGAATTTTTGCTTCCAACTTTTTTCTGAGCGAACGAGTTCACGCACATCTTTTTGTAAAAGATAAGCCACTATGATTGTTTTGTTCTAAGGTTTGTTTGTTCTGTCTTTTTACAAAACTAGTATGTGAAAAATGCGGAAAACCTGTTTTGGACCCCAAAAATCGGAATTTTTGCTTCCAACTTTTTTCTGAGCGAACGAGTTCACGCACATCTTTTCGTAAAAGATAAGTCACTATGATTGTTTTGTTCTAAGGTTTGT